ACCATCTAATCATTTTCAAAACATCCTTATAGTTTCACAACATATATATGAATTATATACTATAAAAGTATTTTTCATAGTAAATCTAAAAAACCAAATCTTATATATGTTATGATTCTATATAGTCAAAGATACAAATGTTTGACTTATAACAAAACTAATACGACATGTAATAAATGTAGTGAGTACGATTTTACAAGTAATATATATTTTCATTATACTATATATATACCTATATTTGGAGTCATACCGTTTGATAATATTTTCCATGAATTGATGTCAAGTTTAGGTTAGTTTAGCTCTAACCAAACATATATTTGCATCGTCCTTTCATGATGAAGCCAGACATAAACTATAACATGATTTGCAAAACAACCACACCCCACATGCATGGCAAAATATGAAATGTACTCACTTCGGTCTTGCGCAAAGGATCAGGATGTACTCGACCCCAAGTATCAGTGGTGCAGATTTTCCCGCCTTCGTCAACGTAGGAAAATTGAAACCCTTCAACTGCACCTACATGGTAGATTGTCACATTTTCTAGACGTTGGGATTTGCCTTCCATTTCCCAAGGCAGGGTGCCTCTATTTCCACCAACTGTTCCTCTCTTTGTAGGTGAAGGGACGACCTGAATATGAAGGATCATGCATCATGATTCATGATTGTTGGTTTAGCCCAACAAAATGAGGGAGTGAAGGAATAAAGGAGAGAGCCAAACAGAGTCATAGGGAAAAACGAAGAGTCCTCCACCTCTCCTCCCTCAACCCCTTTTATAGGGGGAGTTGGGAGACCAGGTCTTTTTTATGTATCACGGCAGGGTTTGTATTTATAGAAAATACCATGGTTTGTATTTACAAAAAATACTAGGAGCTACAAATGGACCCTTTGTGGGGTTTGTATTTACAGGCCAAAAATGGCCCTCCAAATATGATTTTACAGGACCTACTAGGATATTTAATTGAGACTCACATGATAGTAGGGGTCCCCAGCGTATAACATATTCCAACAATGAGCTCGATTCAAAATAACAGAAAAGGAACGATAAATATTTTACTGCAATGCAAAGTGATCAGATAACGAGACCACTAGAATATATGATGCAAAGAGGACGACCTTAAATTAATTACACGCTTACCTCCTTCATACGGCAGAAGAATTCAATAGTAAGTGCATGTGTTAATGTACTGTCTGTTACACTATATACTCTTCTCTGGATGATACCGCGAGCCATTGTGAATTCACCGGTCCCACCTACAATGGCCCACTCATTATCTGCTTCATCCTCATCATTAGCTCCCATAACCTGAAGAGTGGACGCTTCGAACCTGCATACACAATCTATATAATCGCTTTTGCTCCTAGATAATAATTAGGTCATTCTCAGCAGTGGTTTCATGCCCCGTAGACTCTCATGTATTATTGGCCTTACATGTAAATTAAAAACCGTGGAACAAAACAATAATAGTTACTCTACGTACCTTTCGACCACAAACACCAGGGTGAACCAATTGCTCCATTTGCCGGCAAATGTGTGCATGCCATGCGTTTTGGCTACCAGTTTCGCCTTGGAGCCAGGGCCGTCATAGATCCCCTAGTTGTTCACAACAGTTTTACCTAGCCCAGTCACAGTATTGGGCTTTATCACATCCGACTGATTCGCCTCCCAGCCCGTCATGATCTGGCGCAGATACAGCCTGTCGATGTTCACCTTGGCGTTCTCCGCGATTCCACCGATGCCACGAGTGACCTTGAAATTGGCGGAGATGGCGCCTGTGGGGAGGCTTTTGCTCACAATGGGAACATCGGAGAGGACACCGATGGTCTCCATGGTGGGGTCGTCGGAGACGTCGCCGCAGGTCTCCATGGTGATGGTGGGTTCATCGGTGGGTGTGGCCATTGCTAGCTAGCTAGTGGTGGCGGTGCGGTACTTGACACAACTTGTGTAAGTTGTCTTTCTATGAAAGCTGATAAAACCAGGTGCGTACGTAGTCCTATTTATAGCCCCGAATGGAAATGCAAGCTAGCTCAAACACGAGGGAGGTGTGCTGTGGGCTGGGCCCCTTGTGGGCCACGGAGGGTTGCGTTAGCAAGAGATGGCGTGAGGCACGCCGGAGCGCCATGTGTGGTGGGACGTCTACAGCCCCGTGGAGGCTGCCGACGCCCTCGTCGCAAACTAGTCCGGCGCCGGCGCAGGCGCGCCACGAGAATCTGTGGCTGCGTATGGCAGAGCAAAGAGCCGGTGTATGGACGTGTACGTGATGGACAGTTGGTCATAGTTACTCCCTTTTTGGATATGCTGCAACAGTCTATTCGTGTACAAGTTGCTCTTTAAAAACGAGCTGACTTAGACAACACCTGAACGCTTTTGCATGAGGCCAGAGAGGTTATGATAAAATATGTTGCCCAGACCCTCCCAAACTACGTAAGATGAGAGTTTTCAAACTACCCTTCTTAGGGCATCTTCAATGGCGACTCTCAAACCGCCCACAAACATTACGATAAAATATGAGAGTTCTCAAACTGCCCTTCTTAGGGTATCTTACTGATTCCTACGCAGTGCACCAGGTAGCTCTCTTGTGCACTGGGACGTTCTCGCGCTGCCTCGGCACAGAGCTCTCTTGTGTATTAATTCCTACGCAGATGACACTGATTAAAGCACTGCGTGATTGGCGCTTCAGTCTATTGCTGCAGCAGACGCGGCAGCACTAGGCATGCTGATTTCTACACGTGATTTCTGGAATCCAAGGCTGCGGTATGTGAGTTCTAACTCGTTCTGCCGACAATACAGTGCTCCTCTTTTTTTTATACGCACAACGGCGGCTCCGTGCGCAGACGCTCTTTCTCGAATCTCTTTGGTTGTCTTCTCTGCCTCTCTGCTCTCTCTAAGTCTACAAGAACACACGGAAAGAAAAACTCGGTAGGTCAAGAAACGGTACGATGCAAATAGTCAGTTTATAGTAACATACATGCGGTCATTAATTTTAAAGTGTGTGTACGATAGTTATCAATTGGACAAGGATACTGCAACGTTTCCAAATACGAATTCATATAAAAAATCACATGCAAGATTCAATAACGCACATGCATTTGGCGACAGCTCGCGTGCTCGGTGCAGCGTGCGCATGCATGCTTGTGCCTCTGTGCGTGTCTGGCTGCTTGTGTATTGGCATGATTCGGATTGGAACGTGCGTAGAAAAATATCTTTGATTAAAGGAGACTAGGAAACAAACATACTCAGAGCTTACAGTGCCCGTGTGTGCTGAGTGTGTCAACAACGCGGTGATTGGTGCGATGCACGGCTGAGGGAACGTTATCTTCACAGCTGGGACCATTCACCTGGTATTTTGCGTCCCTCAAACGATTGATTACGAGAGGTTATATTACTACGCAAATTGTACTGCTAGAGGTAGTTCCTAATAAGAATGGCATTTAGTACGGTTGTTGTGTATCATCGATCTAAGGTTAAGATACATCTAAGGAGCTTTGAGCCTGTAATAAAGAATAGCTCTATGCATTAGTCAATGTAGAAGGTGTGATATTAATATATTTCCTTTTCTAAAAAAGAAAGAGCTTACAGTGCCGGTGTGTGCTGAGTGTGTCGAGGGAACAGCAACAGCACGGATGAGGGAGCTCTCGCGCAGGCGGCTCGCTGCGTCCAAGGCTCCGACTGCAGGGAACGTGCCAAGCACGGTTTGTAAAGTGACGCAAAAACGGCTACACGTCTCGCCCGAACTTCAGTCGTTTCCACAACCCCGTCCCAACTATCCGTCAATGCAATTCGGTACTTCAACTTTATTTAAGCACCAAACATTGGTTACATTATATTTTTGGTTATAGAAATTGTTGTTCATGCCGTAACAAATAATAACTTATTCCCAATTTGTTTGTTAGAATTCTTATTAGGCATTATCAAGCCCTAGAATAAATTGATTTACAATATAAACTTGATTTCTTTTAATTACCAAAGTGAGTCAACTAAATTCTGGTTATTATTTT